AGGAAGCAGAGGTTGCAGTGAGCCAAGATCACGCCACTGTGCTCCAGCCCAGGTGATAGAGCAAGACTCCATCTAAAAAAGGAAAAAAAAAAAAAATTATAAATGCACAAGAACAAAGAGATAATTAAATTTTAGGAAAGTTTTCTGCTTAGCAGATCAGAAGAACTGCAGGAGTAGGTAGGTAGTGGAGAAGTCAGCAGAAGCAAAACAAGTCATGACATAGAACCCCAGGAAATCCCAGGAATTGGAGGCATCAGAAGATGGGAGGTGTGCTGGCTGCTTCTGAAAACGAGAAGGTTGGCTACAAGTCTAGATGAGACACAGCTAGATTTTCAAATGCCCTACCTAAATCGTACAGCAGAAATTTAGGCAGAATGCAATGATAATGTTGGTGGATGATGTGGGGAGATGTATTTGAAAGATGTTTAACAGAGCCAAAATGATTAATTATAGAAGTAGGAAAAAGAGAAGAAAAACTTGGAACTCGAAGTTCAAGGAAAGAGAAGGGAGGGTGACATTTGAAGAATGTAGCAAGGTCCAGGGAAACTTTTTTTTCCTCTTTTTTTTTTTTTTTTTTTTTTGAGAGGCTGGAGTGCAGTGGCGCAATCTTGGCTCACTGCAATCTCTGCCTCCCAGGTTCAAGCAATTCTTGTGCCTCAGCCTCCTAAGTTAGCTGGAATTACAGGTGCACACCACCACATCTGGCTTTCTTTTTTTTTTTTTTCTTTTTTGTATTTTTAGTAGAGATAGGGCTTCACCATATTTGCCAGGCTGGGGAAAACTTTTTTTTTTTTTTAAAGGATGAATAGAGGTGAATGTTTCTTTGCCTAATGGGAATTATCTAGTAGAAAAGGAAAAATTGAAACAATGCCAGGGAAGGAATAACAGTATAGGATAGATAGGTTAACTTTTGAAAGGTACTAGAACCTTCCTCGTACAGGAGAATATGTAAAAGTCAGCCTAATGAAGAGAAGGATCTTTTAATCAACATCCTTGTAGACCAAGTACAGGAACTAAGGCCAAGCCATACACTTCACTCTTGGCAAATACAAGGTCTTGATAGATCTTTCCTCATTTCAACCCAAATAAGAGAAAGCCAGTACAGAGCTATGAAAAAAAAAATGCCATTAAAAAATAGTTTTTATGACCTAGAAAAATAGAAGAGTTCAAAAAAATTATTACAGGAACCAGAAGAAAATTTGTAGAAATATTTGGCCCCTTCTGTAAGATTCAAGAAATACATAACCTGTATTTACTTCAGAGGCAGAAAGTCACAGGCTGAGGTGAAAAGATAATAGGATGTTACAAAAGAAGGGGGATGATAATAGGATAATATATAAGAAAAAAGATAAGGAAAATAAAAATATACAGCAAAATTAAAATCTACCTGGAGGCAGTACAGAGCTGAAAATCATAGTAGTAATTGGAAAACTATGTTACTCCATAATTCTAAGAACAAAGACTGAATAAGATAAGATACAGAAGATAAGTAAGAGAAGGCCAGACGTGGTGGCTCATGCTTGTAATCTTGGCACTTTGGGAGGCCAAGACAGGTGGATCACCTGAGTTAAGGAGTTAGAGGCCAGCCTGGCCAACTTGGTGAAACCCCATCTCTACTAAAAACACAAAAATTAGCTGGGTCTGTTGGCGGGTGCCAGTAGTCCCAACTACTCAAGAAGCTGAGGCAGGAAAATTGCTTGAACCCAGGAGGTGGAGGTTTCGATGAGTCAAGATTGTGCCACTGCATTACAGCCTGGGGGACAAGAGCAAAACTCCATCTAAAAAAAAAAAAGAAGACGAAAATAAGTAAGAGAAGCTTCCAAGATGGACAAATAGAAACAGCTCCAGTCTACAGCTCCCAGCGAGATTGACACAGAAGATGAGTGATTTCTACATTTCCAACTGAGGTACCTGGTTCATCTCATTGGACTGGTTGGACAGTGGATGCAGCCTACAGAGGGTGAGCCGAAGCAGGGCAGGGCGTCGCCTCACCCGGGAAGCGCAAGGGATCAGGGGATTTCCCTTTCCTAGCCAAGGGAAGCTGTGAGTGACTATACCTGGAGGAACAGTACACTGCTGCCCAAATACTGTGCTTTTCCCACAGTCTTCATGACCAGCAGACCAGGAAATTCCCTCCTGTGCCTAGCTTGGCCGGTCCCACACCCATGGAGCCTTGCTCACTGCTAGTACAGCAGTCTGAGATCAACCTGGGATGCTGGAGCTTGGCGGGGGGAGGGGAGTTTGCCATTGCTGAGGCTTGAGTAGGTGGTTCTATGCGCTCAGTGTAAACAAAGCAGCAGGCAAGTTCGAACTGGGTGGAGCCCACCACAGCTTAGCAAGACCTACTGCCTCTCCAGATTCCACCTCTGGGGGCAGGGCATATCTGAACAAAAGGCAGCAGACAGCTTCTGCAAACTTAAACATCCCTGCCTGACAGCTCTGAAGAGAGCAGTGGTTCTCCCAGCACAGTGTTCAAGCTCCGATAACAGACAGACTGCCTCCTCAAGTGGGTCTCTGACCCCCATGTAGCCTAACTGGGAGACACCTCCCAGAAGGGGCTGACAGGCATCTTATACAGATGGGTGCCCCTCTGGGACGAAGCTTCCAGAAGAAGGATCAGGCAGCAGTATTTGCTATTCTGCAGCCTCTGCTGGTGATACCCAGGCAAACAGAGTCTGGAGTAGACCTCCAGCAAACTCCAACAGACCTCCAGCTGAGGGGCCTGTTAGATGGAAAACTAAAAAACAGAAAGGAATAGCATGAACATCAACAAAAAGGACACCCACACCAAAATCCATCCATAGGTCACCAACGTTAAAGACCAACGGTAAATAAAACCACAAAGATGGGGAGAAACAGAGCAGAAAGGCTGAAAATTCCAGAAACCAGAATGCCTCTTCTTCTCCAAAGGAACACAGCTTCTTGCCAGCAAGGGAACAAAACTGGATGGAGAATGAGTTTGACGAGCTGACAGAAGTAGGCTTCAGAAGGTCGGTAATAACAAACTTCTCTGAGCTGAAGGAGCATGTTCTAACCCATTGCAAGGAAGCTAAAAACCTTGAAAAAAGGCTGGACGAATGGCTAACTAGAATAACCAGTGCAGAGAAGAGCTTAAATGACCTGATGGAGCTGAAAACCACAGTACGAGAACTTTGTGAAGCATACACAAGCTTCAGTAGCCGATTCAATCAAGTGGAAGAAAGGATATGAGTGATTGAAAATCAAATTAATGAAATAAAGCAAGAAGACAAGATTAGAGAAAAAAGAGTGAAAAGAAACAAAGCCTCTAAGAAATATGGGACTATGTGAAAAGACCAAATCTACGTATGATTGGTGTACCTGCAAGTGACAGGGAGAATGGAACCAAGTTAGAAAACACTCTTCAGGATATTATCCAGGAGGACTTCGCCAACCTAGCAAGGCAGGCCAACATTCAAATTCAGGAAATACAGAGAATGCCACCAATGAGAACAAAGATACAACATACCGGAATCTCTGGGACTACATTTAAAGCAGTGTGTAGAGGGAAATTTATAGCACTAAATGCCCACAAGAGACAGCAGGAAAGATCTAAAATTGACACCCTAACATCACAATTAAAAG